TATGGGGCCTGCCGGGAAGTTTTGTGTCATGTAGGCTGATCCCTAATGGCGTGTTGCTGTCCTTGTGATAGTGACTCAGTTCGAGTAAGATCTCGTTTTGTAAAGTGTGGCAACTTTTCCCTGAACACTCTTTCTCTCTCTCTCTCTCTCTCTCTCTCTCTCTCTCTCTCTCTCTCTTTCCTTCTCTCCCTGAACTCTCTCTCACTCCCATGCTTATGAGACATCTGCTCCCCCTTCACTTTTCACTATGAGTAGAAGCTTTCTGAGATCTCCCCAGAAGCAGGTGTCAGCACTGTGCTTTCTGCATAGCTTGTAGAACAATGAGCCAACTAAGCCTCTTTTTCTAATAAATTACCCAGTCATCTCTGCATAGCAATGCAAGAATGGACTAACACGTGGCAAACTATCTGAAAATAAATTTTTCCAGAAAACTTATAATAATACCAAACAGACACATGAAAACTGTGCTCAATGATCAGGGAAATGCAAACTAATGAGATACCGACTTACTCTAATGAGAATGTTCACTCAAAGATAAATGTATAAGGAAAACGTGATATGTAAACACAATGGAACACCATTGTTCTGCCATAAAATTAATGAAATTTTGTTGTTTCCAACAACATAAATAAACATGGAAGACATTAACTGAAATAAACCAGGCAATAAACCAGAAATTCCAAGACAATAACTGAAATAAACCAGGCAATAAACCAGAAATTCCAATACAAAAGGCACTATATATAGTGACTTTTCTACTCTTCGAAGAGATCAGTATAGATCAGCATATATAGAATGTATATATATATATATATAGTGTGTGTATATATATATATTCACTAATATATTTAGGAGTATCAGACAAAACAGACCTTAAGAAAAAATTATAAAAGTCTAAGATGACATTATATACTAACAAAAGTTGTCAATCCATTAAGAAGTTATAACAATTACACATATACACCAAAAACTAGCCCCATAAATGAGGTAAAAATTGTGACAGAAATGAAAGCAGAATTAGACAGTAATAGTACTGTCAATATAATACTTCAATAACATCACTATAGCTCACTTTACTAAATCCACCAGAGCAGAAATGTATAAGAAAATCAGAAACTTGAACAGAATAGAGAAACTAGATCCAGGGGACATAATCAGACTACTACATGCAATATCAGCAGAACTCACATTGTACTCGAGTATAAACAGAAGACTTCCCAGGAAAGGACATAGTGTTAGGCCACAAAACAAGTGTGAATCATTTTTTTTAAAATCCAAGTCATAAAATCTTCTTTCACCACAATACATTCAAACTAGAAATCAGTATTTAAAAAAAATACAAATATTTGAGTATTAACCTACATTGTTATAAATTAAAAAAAAACTAAAAGAATTTTACAAAATATTTCATAATGATTCACATAAGCCATGCTAAAAAGTATTAATTTACTAAACTCAGAAATGAAAATTGGTTCATTATTACTGACCTCACACAATAGAAAGGACCGCAAAACATTAAATACAATTCTATGCTAAGAAATTATGTATGTTAGATAAAATGGACAAATTATTAGCAACATAAAAACTCTCAAAACTTCCTCAAGGAATTAAAAAAACAGAGAAATGTATAACATATAAGGATTTTGAATCAGAAATCTCACACTTCAGGAAAAAAATGGTTTCACTGATTAAATTTACCAGACATTTCAAGAAGAATCCATACAAATCTACCTGAAACTTCAAGAAATAAGATATGAATACTTAATTCTGAGAGACAAGCCTTGATACCAAAAACAAAGAAATAATAAGAAAACTGCAGATCATTATATATTACCAATCAAGATGCAGAATATCTCAACAAAAACTAGAAAAACTAACTTAAACAGTTATTAACAGAACTATACATCAGGGAGAATGCAGGATGTTCCACATATGAGAAATAAATGAATGTTATAAACCACATTAATAGAATGAAAGGGTAAAAACAATCATCCCAATTTCTTTAAAGAAACAGTTAAATGTAGAAAAAGCATTTACCTATAATCAAATCAAGATGCTTTAATGATAAACACCCTCAACCAATAAGGATTACAAGGTGTTATGGCCTAAATGTTGTGTCCACTCCCCACCCCCACTCATTTGTTGAAATCTTAGAAAGCAGGTCCTTTTTGAGGTAATTAGGGCACAGGGTGAACAACCTCATGAAGGCGTAAGTGCTCCTCTAAGAAGAGATGCTGAGGCTTAATTGTTCCCTTTCTTCTCTTAAGCCATGTGAGGTTCTGAGAAGATGGCTGTATGTAGTTGGGCATTCGCCAAGAACCCTGTCATAGTGGTACCTTGATATTGGATTGTCCAGCTTCCAAAATTTAGGTAAATATGTTATTTGACCCACTCAGCCTGTGGTATTTTGTTGTAACACACCAAGCTGACTAAGCAAGAAATAAACCTTCTCAAGCTGTTAAAGCACTCTTATGAAAGAGGCTCAGCTAAGATCTAACTCAATGGTGAAAGAGTAAAAGCTTTCCCTCTATGACCAGGAACAGGAGGAAGAGGCCTACTTTCACTACTCCTATTCAACATTATACTGCAAGTTCTAGCTGGAATGATTAGGTAAAACGGTTTTTATTTGGAAAGACAATAGTCTCTATTTGCAGACCACATGGTTTCATATCCTAAAAATACACACACACACACACACACACACACACACAAACACACACACACAATACACAAGTTACTGAATGAATAAGCTAAAACTAAATAAATGAGCTCATTCATGATGAATTCAGCAGAGGTATAGAACATACAATCACACACAAAATTCAGTGTGTATAGAATATCAGCAATAAGCAGCACTCTATAAAAGAAACTGTAGAACAAGTCCATTAACAGCAGCATCGTACAATGCACAATTTCCAGAAATGACTTAAACCAGGAAAGGAAACTCTTAGTACAACAAAAATCAGAGAGCTCATGAATAAAATTAAAAACAGAAAAATAAATAGACATTGATACTTGTGGACAAGATCGCTGAGTATTATGGTTATGACACAATTCAAAGCAATCTACAGTTCAACAGAATCCTGCCGTCAAATCCCAATGATATTTGTAGTAGAAATGAGAAGTTAATTCTACAACTCTTGGAGAACTACAAGAGACACTGCAAAGCTAATCTCAAAAAAGAAGAAAAATATTGGAGGACTCACTCCAAATTTTTAGGCTTACTACCAAGCTACAATAACCCAAATAGGCAGATAATGGCATTAGCAAAGAAAGACAGATCCAAAGTATATAAATGACTGTCCAAAATCAGATTCACATATGTATAATCAAATAATTTTCATCAAAATTTTCAATGGAGAAATATAGTCTTCAAAAAACGGTGCTAGGATTAGTGGACATCTATCAGTGTGCCATCATGCTAGGCTAAGTTTTTGTAGTTTAGTAGAGATGGGGTTTCACCATCTCTAACTCCCGACCTCAGGCTGGACCAACCTTGGCCAGGCTGGTCTCTAACTTCTGACCTCGGGTGATCCACCCAGTTCAGCCTCCCAAGTATGGGCACTACTGGGTAAGCCACTAAGCCTGGTGGTTATTTTTTGTATTCTAATTTGATGATGAAGAAGGGAACCAACATAATCTATTTGCTCCCACAATTATAATCTCAAACTAATAGTAACCCCTAATTAGAGCCACTTGTGAATATATGTAAGTTGCCTGATGCATGAAAGCAATGTGATAGACAGATAATAAACAGTATCACAGGAATATCTGAAGCTACTATCATATTTAGCTGCACATCTCTTAACAAAAGGATATGTTCTGAGAAATATATCCTTAGGCAATTTTGCCTAATGTGAACATGATAAGAGTATTATACAATTCCCAGCACTTCCAAATATGATAGAGTATTTCTCAAATATATTCTGAGAAATATATCCTTAGGCAATTTTGCCTAATGTGAACATGATAGAGTATTGTTCCTAGACTACAAATTAGTGTGACATTATTATACTGAATATTGTAGGTCACATAACACAAGGTTAAACAACTGCCTATAAACAGAGACACAGTGAAAGTACAGTATTGGTACTTTGTTGAACTGAAACTGTTATGCAGCATATGACTCACTCTATAATACCACTTACACAGATATAGGTATTTCCATAAATAGTATATATACATAAATATCAGAGTGAGCCTTTTCAGAAACTTTAGTCACAGCTGTTAGCTAAGTTTACCATTAAACCACTAATTTCTTCTATTGGGATCAACTCTCTTATTAGACTTTTCTACAATATTTAGTACAATAATGCCAAATACTAATACTAATTCTTTTGGTTCTGGTCAACATGGTAAAACAGCAATTATAATAGAATTGATTTCTCAAATGTCCAAATAATGCTTAAGGCTGGTCACATTTTAGCTTTCTTTCTCCAAATTAAGTTACTTCTGGTATTACTTTTTATTGGCTCTCGACCTTAGAACAAATTCAAATGTGATGAATCAGAATCTAGGACATCTGTATGGATTTTTTGACTAATACAAGAAATCACTTTATAAAAAACAATGAAATTAGTGGTTTCTCTATGACTTCATGTGTTTGACACGTACACAAATAGGTAAACTTAACAAAGGCACTTCCTTACACACTTCTATGTATTTCAAAATATGCTGGTTGGAGTACTTATTTACTTTACTATAAAAAGGTAGTAATCTTCCAATATTTAGATTTAAGGAAAGGTGAAGGAACACCACAGCTCCTCACTAAAATATCAAGATATACTGCTCCTTTTGTCTATCCTCATCAGAATTTCAAGATAATAAATATCGTATGACTGGACAAATTCTGGTTTACTGCCAGATCATCCAGTACCATCAAACCTCACCTTTATCCCTAATACGTGAAGACAACACTGTGTGGGAGAATCTATGAGCACAGACAATTTACATGCTAATATGAGTATCCCCAGACATGATGTTAACATAAACTATACTACCTTCTCCTCAGGAGATAAGTTCTGTTTGCTATTGCTGACAGGAAAGCCACTGCCAAATTCTTTAGAATGAATATCAGCTCCATATTCAACTGTCACATCTTCCTCAATGCTGCTCACCAATCTCCAGAATTCCTTCTCCACAAGTTCTGTAGGCACCATCTGTGAAAACAAGTGTAAAAGATCATTAAAGCCCACTATACTTTAGACCCATATATCCATAAGAACTAAGACAACCACAACTTAATCCCTTTGAGTCCAGCCCTCAGATCACATACATGTACAGGCATACTGAAGTAGTCAGCCTTGAAGGAATCAGCCATTTCACCAAAACTCTGCAAAGTGTACTCCTGGGTAGCCTGTTCAAATCCAAAAGCTTCAGGAGGCCGTTTACACTCCTGAAATAAAATATATTGCAGCAAGAAAAAGGAATATAAGAAATCCAAAACTGGAAACCTAAAGAGAGAGAAATTTTTCAGGTTACACTCAATATCTCATGCTATAATTCTGCATTTTCATATGTTTCCAGTTAGGAGAGTTTCTTTGGTATGTATTAAACTTATTTCCTAATCTTTATGGTCCATGACATTTGGATTATGGTCCCTTGCCTCTGGCTCATTCAAGTCTCTATTAATTTACAGTTAGTGTTTTTAATCATTCTTGCATAGTACCAGCTATGCTCACTGATAGCTTAATCAAAATCTAACAAAAGGATTAACTTATGAAACGACAGAAACAACTTCCATAAAATCCAGAAGGAGAGATTACAGAAAATCACCAAGAACCGAAAATAAATATCTGTGACAGACAGGTCTTACTGCCAAGATACACTTTGGGCACCTCCAGATGCCTCTGGGGATTTCAGGAAGGGGTGGTAACAAGCAGAAGATGTGGTAACAGTCATCACAGCCATCACAGAAAAGCAGCTTATCATCTTCATCCCCACGGGAGCATATCTGGCAAACATAACAGTCAACCTACCAAAAAAAAAAAAGTAAGAAAACAAAGAAAAGTATAAAAAATTTTTTAAAAAGCCTTATATTTGATACCTTATACCAGGTTTCTAGACCACTCATGAACACCTACCATTAGTCAGTAACTACACAGTGTTGCATTTATGAGTTTATGAGTTTACTATGTAGCATAAACTATGACAGGAAATATAGTATAATACAACAAATTAATAAAAGAAACCATGTGGGCAATAAATTAAGACATTTTACAGAGGTTCAGTGGCATAAAAAAATCATAAACATATAGTTAAAAATTTAACTGGCACAGAGGGCAAGTTGAACATAAAAAGGCAAAGTGAACAAATACCAGTTATATTTCTCTAGTGAAAGGTCTGGTAGATGTCTACTTCATTCTAAACAGTATCTTCAGTTTGGGTGATGAATTAAATTGTCACGCAAGTAATATGTCACAAAACAGAAACACGAAGCAAAGACTAAATAACTTGATTCTCTGATACTACTGAAAAAAATCTAGTAATAATTACCAGTTTAAAGGGAAAATGCAGTGATAAAATTTTTAGCAGGGTAGAATCACATTTTGAAAAAATTAGTTTCAATAAGGAGGATGAGCTTTTCTACCAGAATCCAGAAGTAAACTGATCAGTAAAGAGAAAATAAAGATAACTCAAGAGCAGGAGAAGACAAGTGAAGGTATACTTCTGCATATATACACACACACAAACATACACACACACAGAGATTATGTATGTGTATAAATACATGTGTGCATGCATACATACATATGCATACGTATGCATATACACACATCCACCATCATACAAAACAGTTTATAAATATAAGAAAATTCAATAGAATTATAAGAAAAAGATTTTGTAAAATAAAAAACTTTAAACTTATGAAAGATGCTCAATATAAAAAATCATAAACCAGGGAAATGCAAATAAAAATTATAATTAAATACAAGTATACATCTTCAAAAGAACTAAAATGAAAACAAAGTTGTCAATCGTTAAGTATTAGTGTGGACAAATGGCAACCAGAATTGGCATACAATACTAGTTGAAACACTGGTCAATCATTTTTAAAAATAGTATGACAATAATCCAATACTGAAAATATACATAGTCTCAGTCACAGCAATCCAATCCTGTCTATGTAACAGAAATGTACATATGTTACCTAGAGATATAAACTTTAATATTCATAGAATTATTTGTAATAGCTAAGTATTGTTAACTACCAAAAACAGAATGGTAAAACATGTAGAAAAAATGTTGTTCCTAATGAAATTACACTTAATGGAACACAATACAACAGTGAGTATTAACACTCATATATATATTAACACTCATATATATAAATTTTTCTAACAAAACCCTGGGCAAAGAAGCCAATACAAAACAGATGATTACTTAACTAAAAGTATAAAAACACATTAACTAATCCAGATATTTCTGTGTATTCATTATACACTGAAATATAAAAAAAGCAATAGAAGTAGGTAAACAACTAGCTCTAAGGGTGAGAAAGTAGTTGTCAATAACTCCCAGACTTCAGGTTTGATGACTGGTCTAACTTATGTCCATAAAATGAAAAACAGTGAGACAAGTGAAAACAGAATAGTGGTGATAAAGATGATATTTCAATCATCAGGTGGAAACAACTAAGAGAAACACATGAATTTGCAGCTCAAAGCAAAAGTCTGAGAACAAAATTTTTTGAAAGATCAACATTTACAGAACAAGGATGGGCAAACGAAATTATCAAAATAGCTTGAAATTAGCTAATGGTAAGGAGAAAGATAAGATTTTTTTTTTTTCTTTTTCTTGTTGGGCAGACTTTCATGAAGACATTGTAAAAATCTTCCAGGTGAGAAGTAGAAAGAAGGGTAAAAGAGGATGTATGTATACAAAAGACAAAAGTAAAATAAAAAAATAGATAAGTCACTACTATAAGAAATGTGATGCTTTGAGGGTCTGAAGGAATTTGTCAAAAACAAATAGCTCTTTTACATAATTTATATTGGATCAGATCATCTCCAATAGTAAGCTATAAAAGTTCAAAAAAATGCTAAGCTGAAAAAAACCGTAGTTTGGTGAAAAGTTCTGATCTAAAAAGACAAAAATTTTGCTCTTAAGTTTAGTACCTTGAATAAGTTTCTTTCCTTCTCTAGCCAGCAATCTCTTTAAACAAAAAGGCTCATAAGCAGAAAGAAGGGAAGAAAAAGAAAAAGTAAAGAATAATGAAATAATTTTAGGTTCAATCTCATCTTGACAGTTCACAGCACATTACAAAAATCATGACTCCTTACAAACTGGGCATTGCTGTGATTCTTTCGTAGCTGCATGGTCGTCTTAATGCAGGGGTCTAGGTTCAAGGGTGGCTTCGACAGTGTTGATGACACTTTCCCATCTCTACTTTCTTCATCTTTTATCGTAACTGTTGTGGGGCACGTAACGAAAGAAGTGAAAAACAACTCTGAGAACAATCCTCTCCTACATCATAATTAATAAACTATTTCTCCCATGATAATTTACCATTTTACCCCTCACACTACACTACCATGTAAATTCCTCACCTTTCTTACAAATAGTCTTATGCTTATCCTTAGCCATGAGGCCTAAGCCCATCATTTTGGGACCTGGCCCATAGATCTGTAGTTTCTTTAGCTCTGGATTCTTCTCAATGTCCTCCTCTGTAGGCTCTGGCTGTTTAAAGAAGATTCAGACAACAAAGTGAGCTTTACATATGCAGATATAAATATTTTATAGGCAAGATCTAGACAGGTCACACAGGCTAAAATCAACTAACAGCCTTTATCCACTTTTGAACGTTTATTAAGCACATTTTCACCTATTAGTATGGTATGGGCAGGTAGGAGCAAATGAATAAATAAATTTGGAAAGTAATGAAGTTTCTCAATTTTTTTCCATGCAATGAATAAAATGATAAAATACTCCTGGGTTTGCAAGGCTTGTAAATCTTAAGTATCAAAATCTGTATCTCCTAGTATTTTACAATTCTATAATTATAAATAGTCCTCCCTTTCCAACTGAATTCAAGATGAAAAGAGTTAAGACAGAAAAAATTCTATTCCATTTAAACTCATTACCATTAGAACCATAACTGCTTTCTGACTACAATGTAATCATATACCTGGGAAAACGGAAACGTATTAAATATCAGAATACATAGCATATATCATATATATTATATACCATTTTTAGCAGTTATCTCTTCTTAGAGAACATTGTAAATATATTTTATCAATGTTTGGATTAATTTATTCTACCTTGAAATTAAGCTCTATTACATTTTTTTCCATTTATTTTAAACCTTTATTCCTACAGATTTTCTTCTATACACATAAACATACATGCAGACACAAAATAATGTATTTTTAAGGTTTTCTTTTACTCCCACAGCTTATCATAACATTTTTCCAGAAATCAGTAAACTTACTTTTTAATTAGACAGCATGGAGGCTGTTTCCAACTTTTTGACATTTTGAAGAGTAAAGTAACTATTAATCTAATTTTTATTTCATATACTGTATATTGTTTTGACACTTCTGGGGTAACCTGTTGGCTAGGAAAACCAGCCCTTTAGCAGCTGGCCAAACTAAAGCCTATCTTTACCATATAAACCAATCAATCCCAAGTCAGAACCTCTAACTATTCATTTTATTTAACTATCATATAGAGTGAGTATTTTCCCTGCTCTAAACCAACTCAGAGCCACGTACCAGAAACCTAACAGCATCCACTATGTTCCACAGTGCACCAAAATTATCCCAACAAACTAGACAATTCTAAAATATTTACATCATCCTGCTTTGCTTGTATTACAGAAATACCAACAAAGGCTGTGATCTGTGCCTTTTACCTTACATTTTAGCTCATGATTGACTTCTGTGCCCCTGTGTGGTACGCTTTATATCTATTTGGAAGAAAACAGCAATGAAAATTTTTAGCACTGACCTCTACATGTCATCATTACTGAATCATCCCTATAATTAAAACTAGGGCACAAATCATTAGCACCCATCTACTCACTGTATTATCATACTCAAATAATAATAGAAGTTAAACAGAATATTATATAACTATTAGCTACATAGTATTGTTATGCACATTACATAATACATGAAATATGTACATTTAATGTTACATCTCATATAACATTAATTTTACATCTACATTTCATAGTATTTGTAATAGCTGAAAACTAATTTTAATTTAAAATCAATCTGATTATAAGTTAAATTATTTTAATTTTTACATTAATGTTATATAATAATTCCTAGCAATTAAACACTTTTTAAAAGAGCTAATATTTGTTTCTTTTAAAATAAAATAATACTAAGTGGATGCGGTGGCTCACACCTGTAATCCTAGCACTTTGGGAGGCCGAAGAAGGTGGATTGCCTGAAGTCAGGAGTTCAAGACCAGCCAGGGAAACATGATGAAACCCCAACTGCACTAAAATACAAAAAATTAGCCCAGCATGCTTATGGGTGCCTATAGTCCTGGCTACTTGGGAGGCCGAGGCAGGAGAATTGCTTAAAGCCAGGAGGTAGAAGTTGCATTGAGCCAAGATAGATTGAGCCATTGCACTCCAGCCTGGGGAACAGAGCGAGACTGTCTCCATAAAATAAAAATAAAATAAAATAATAAAGAAAGTAATACTGTACTATTTTACATTTTGGACAGTCTACTTACAACCTACTCAAATTACAAACACTTAGAATAGAAAAGACATGTTAGTTCTCATGTCTCCTTTCTTGCTTTATGCAGAATTTATAATTGTTTTCTTTATATTTTGGAAGTACTATTAGTTTTTGTAAACCATACAGTTTTCAAGTTTTTGTCTTTTTCGTTTTTTTCTGAGATACAGTCTCCCTTCGTCACTCAGGCTGGAATGCAATGGCATAATTTTGGCTCACTGCAACCTCTGTTTTCCAGGCTCTGGTGATTGTCATATTGCAGCCTTCTGAGTAGCTGGGATTACAGATGCCTGTCACCAGGCTTCTTTAATAGAGATGGGGTTTCACCTCGTTGGCCAAGCTGGTCTCAAACACCAAATCTCAGGTTATCAACCAGCTTCAGCCTCCCAAAATTCTGGGACTATGGTCATGAGCAACTATGCCTGGCCCAAAAATTCTTAAAACCATTCCTGCAAAGCAGACAATCAACTTCCCTTGCTAAAAAAAGTGTCTAAGGATCCATTTTATCTAGAAAAAGTTTTAGACCAGTTTCATAGTTATTACATGCTCATTTTTCTTATTCAGTTCTTTCTATACATAGTTCTTACCACAAAAAACTAGAGTACTAATACAGAATGCATCTGTATTTCAATAATTTTAAGTAGATAAAATTTCTAACTTTGGTCTAATTAGTAATGTTACAATATGTCAACATTTAAATATTGTTAAAATTATCCAGAAAACACTTAATGACACACAACACTTTCTTAATTTCTTTCAGCAATAAAAATATCTGAATGTTATGAAAATGTTGTATGTGGAGCACTGAAAACAGCCTTACCTAGAACAAGTTACTAAAAACACATTGTTAACATTTTTCATTTTCTATATATTATAATATTTTAGTATTTAAATCTTTCTGGCTAAGACTGCCCTCCCAAGGTTAACTTCTCCTAGAAATACCAAATGGCTCACCCAGGAGCATGCCTTTAATATGACTTTAATATTTTCACAGACAAACCTAATCCTCCTCTATTTAACCCATACAATTCAGGAGGCAATGTTCCTCTTCCTTAATTCAAAGTCAGGTAACTAGGGAATTCTGCTATAAGCTAAAGCCTGCCAAAATTATTCAAACTAGCTAATCCTAAACTGCTTATCCTGCTCTGCCCTGCCTTTCCCTTGGGAACCCCAATAAAGGCTATGGCCAGGTTCTTTCCTTGTTCTTGCTCCTTCTGCATGTTCAAAATGTGATTTCCCCTGTAGCACTATGTAGTATATAGTGACTACTTAAGACCTGTGAAAATAATAAACTTTGCATTCCTGAGTCTCTCTGTGGTCACACATTACTGACTATCACATGGAACACCACAGAAGAAAACCAACAGTTACTAAATCCAACTTGTACAATGTGCTTTACAAAAATAATTCCAAGATTCAAAAGAATTAACAAACCTTATAATCAGGCATAGTATCTCATGCCTATAACCCCAATTAGTCCAAAGGCTAAGGAGGGAGAATCACTTAAGCCTAGGAGATGAAGAAAGCCTGGCAACCATAGCAAGACCCCATAACATAAAAAGAACATTAATACATTTGCTTTCAAAATGCATGCAAGCAAAACCACAAACGCAAAGTACTATAAACCATATCTATGAAAACATAATTCATTATAATTAATGTTATCTTGAACCATCGTATGTCAAATAATGCTTTTAGTAATGAATTTCCCTCATATCAAAGTCCAGACAGACCTTCTCAGCTATAGAAATAAAAGTCACTCACATCAGGCTGTAGCCTTTTTGCCCGTCGACTGTAGTTGCTGAATTTTGAAGGTTGCACAGACTGTCTAAAGGGGATGCTATGGGGCTTATATTCCTTATCTTTTACCTCAGTGTCAAATGGGTGTGTGTTACACTGCTAGAGAGAAAAAAAACATAGAATCAGAAATTGAGTCATATTTGTGATTAGTGATTCCTTCAAGTAAAACTCTAGCAAATAAAGCTGTAGTTCTTCCTAAATTACACAGGTCCACTTCTCTTGTTCTTCGAGTGATAGAACACATATCCTAAAAATGCCCCAGTGCCTCTGCTTGCATGAATGAGCAGCAAGGAATATGATCGAACACTGGGTTTTTACTCTTATTCTTTGTGTGCTTTCGATAAATATACTGAACCTCTCTCTTTGTGTTTCAATTTCCTGGCTGATAAATCAGAAAGGAAAATATCAAATCTAGTAATTTTGAACACTAAGAGAACTGTGTTTTTAAACATACAGACACAGTTTTTATAAAATATTTAAAAGTTTTGTGAATAATAAAATCTAACATTGACCAGGCACGGTGGCTCTCACCTTTAATCCTAGCACTCTGAAAGGCCAAAGTGGGCAGATCACGAGGTTACGAGATCGAGACCATTCTGGCCAACATAGTGAAACCCCACTACTAAAAATACAAAAATTAGCTGGGCATAGTTGCGTGTTCCTGTAATCCCAGCCACTCGGGAGGCTGAGGCAGGAGAATCACTTGAACCTGGAAGGCAGAGGTTACAGTGAGCTGAGATCACACTCCAGCCTGGTGGCAGAGTGAGCACCTGTTTCCAAAAAAAAAACATCTACTAACTTATTATTTAAAATAAACTGTTACCACTCCCTGAGTTAAACCCAAGCAATACCAAGCTTTTTTTCCCTATCTTTAAGAGAACCAGCCTCAAGAAAGCTTAATAACTTCATTAAGATAATTAGTTTTTTCACTTAAGATATTTAAAATAGGAAATGTTTTCCCATAGCATCCAATTTAAGATCTTCTCCATAATAAGATCTTAGTAAATATCAACCTGCTAAAAAGACAGAAAGATCACGCTAGTTTTTCTTTTAACTATAACAGGTATAAAACCTTGCCACACAGAGGCTGCATAATAGTATCAATTTCTGGAGTATCTTCACTCCAGAAATTTATAATCTCTAGATTGTAATCTCTAGAATCCGACTTCTCAGGAGGAAAGTCCAATACAAAAGAAAACATAATCATGTCAGTCCACAAACCAGTTTAAATGCCCTCACCACATTGCTGGCACCAGACTGAAACATTTCATAGGGGTATATGATTCGTTCATAATGCAATCGTAGCAGGGAGCCAATGTTTTTGCCTGGTGGGTAGTGGAGACGCCGGGCAACTCGAGCCCACCGACGTTCCTTGCAGATGGCTTCATAGCCACCTTCCTCCATCACAATCTGAAAGTATAAGAAAAGATATGGGATTCTTGCCCTTCAAAGTGAACTAGCATGCCCCGCTTCTGATTTTGAAACACCTAGGTCTGGTTTTCCCAGGAGAGCAGTGGGAACCTCCATACTGTTTTCCACAGTGGCTGTACCATTTTACATTCCTACTGGCAGAGCACAGGGGTTCCAATCTCTTCACACAGAAGGGAGAATGGGAGAGACATTCAAGATGTCTGAATAGTAACACCTCTGGAGTGCAGTTCCCAGTGAGAACAGCATAGAGGGCATTTCCAAAAGAGTTTTTACTCCCCACAGACCAGAAGTTTCCAGCACAGCTGTTTCAGCCAGTGCCATGAGTTTCCACACAAAAATTCACACAAATCTGGGCGGCTACTTCAACAAGCACCTGAATCACCTGGGATATAGAGCCATCCAATCAACTGAAAAAGAGGTGTCTGAAACAGGGAGCCAGGTGATCTAGTTCAGCAGATCCTATACCTACAAAGACCAGCAATTTTAAGTACTCTGCATTGAAACTTTCACAGCAAGTACAGCTGGACCTGGCACAGCCCAGGTTAGTAGGAGAAGGACATCCACCATTACTGAGGCAATACGCCACTACCAAGGCATGCCAACATTACTGAGGCAATCCACCATTACTGAGGCAGACCATCTTTACAGAGGCAATTCTAAGAGTACCTTTATAAACAAAACCACAAGGAAGTTTATACAGCATGTGGGCATAGCCCACAGCAGCTCAGCAACACCTCTGCTGGCACACTGTGACTAGACTACTTCCTTGCTGGCCAGGGCATCTCTGAGAAAAAGCAGCAGCACATTTAGGAACTTAAAAGGCCCCACCTTCCAAGGGCAGAGCACCTGGGAAAGAGGCAGTTATGAGTTCTGCTGCAGCAGACTTAAATGTACCTGCACAACAGCTCTGAACAGAACAATGGAGTAAACAGCACAGCACTTGAGCTACTATAAGGGAAAGCACAACTCCTCAAAAAGCTCCTTGCCCCCTTATATCCAAAGAGATGCCTCATAAAGAAAAGCTCAGGCTGACATCTGGCAGGTACCCATTTGGGATGAAGGTAAAAGAAGAAACTGGCAGCAACCCTTACTGTTCTATAGCCGCCACAGGTGATCTGCAGGCAAGCAGGATCTGGAGTGAACTGCCAGCTGTCCTGCAGCAGAGGAGCCTGACTTAGAAGGAAAACTAAAACACAGAAAGAAATAGCTTCCACATCAAAGTAAAGGATGTCCACTCATAGACCCCAACTGAAAGCCACCAACTACAAAGACCACAGGTAGATAAATCCACAAAGATGGGAAGAAACCAGTGCAAAAAGGATGAAAACACTAAAAACCAGACGCCCTCTGTTCCTCCAAGGGATCACAACTCCTCACCAGCAAGGGAGCAAAGCTGCATGGATAATAAGTCTGATGAATTCACAGAAGCATACTTCAGAAGGTGGGTGATAAGAAACTTCTCTGAGCTAAAAGCACATGCTATAACCCAATATAAAGAAACTAAGAACCTTGAAAGAAGGTTAGATAAAGCTGCTAAGTAGAATAACCAGCTTAGAAAAGAACATAAACGACTTCATGGAGCTGAAAAACAACATGGCATGAGAACTTTGTGAAGCATACACAAGTTTCAATAGCTGAATTGACCAAGCAGAAGAGAGGATATCAGAGATGGAAGATCAATTCAATTAAATAAAAGGAGAAGGCAAGAATAAAGAAAACAGGCCAGGCGCGGTGGCTCAAGCCTGTAATCCCAGCACTTTGGGAGGCCAAAGCGGCTGGATCATGAGGTCAAGAGATCGAGACCATCCTGGTCGGCATGGTGAAACCCCGTCTCTACTAGAAATATAAAAAAAATTAGCGGGGCATGGTGGCGTGTGCCTGTAATCCCAGCTACTCGGGAGGCTGAGGCAGGGGAATTGCATGAACCCAGGAAGTGGAGGTTGCAGTGAGCCGAGATCACGCCATTGCACTTCAGCCTGGGTAACAAGAGTGAAACTCCATCTCAAAAAAAAATAAAAAAAGAAAGAAAGAAAACAAAAGTGAAAAGAAATGAACAAAGCCTCCAAGAAATATGGGATTATGTAAAAAGACCTAATATACGCTTGACTGGTGTACCTAAATGTGACTAAAAGAATGACTCCAAGCTGGAAAACACTCGTCAGGATATTATCCAGGAGAATTTCCCAAACCTAGCAAGGCAGGCCAGCATTCAAGTGCAGGAAATTCAGAGACCAACAAAAAGATATTCCTCAAGAATAGCAACCCCAAGGCACATAATCATCAGATTCACTACAATTGAAATGATGGAAAAAATCCTAAGAGTAGCCAGAGAGAAAGGTCGGATTACACACAAAGGGAAGCCCATAAGAGTCACCGTGGATCTCTCAGCAGAAACCCTACAAGCCAGAAGATGCTGGAAGCCAATAGTCAATATCCTTCAAGAAAACAACTTTCTACCTAGAATTGCATATCCAGCCAAACCAAGCTTCATAAGCGAAGAAGAAATAAAATCCTTTATGGGTAAGCAAACACTAAGTGATTTTGTCACCACCAGAAGGGCTTTACAAGACATCCTGAGAGAAGCACTAAACATGGAAAGGAACAACCAGTACCAGCGACTCCAAAAACCTACCACATGGTAAAGACCATTGACGCAATGAAGAAACTGCATCAGCTAATGGGCAGAACAACCAGCTAACATCAAAATAGCAGGATCAAATTCACATATAACAATATTAACCTTAAATGTAAATGGACTAAATGCCTCAATCAAAAGACACAGACTGGCAAATTGGATAAAGGGTCAAGACCCATGTGTGTGCTGTATCAGAAAACCCATCACACGTGCAAGAACACATAAAGGCTCAAAATAAAGGGATGGAATAAGATTTACTAAGGAAATGGAGACCAACAAAAAGCAGGAATTTAAATCCTAGTCTATGATAAAACGGACTTTAAAACAAAGATCAAAAGAGACAAAGAAGGGCACTCCATAATGGTAAAAGGATCAATGCAACTAGAAGAGCTAATGATGCTAAACATATACATACCCCATACAGGAGTAACCAGATACATAAAGCAAGATCATAACAACCTAATAACAGACTTAGACTGCCACACAATAATCGTCAGAGACTTAACACTCCACTGTCAATATGAGACAGATCAATGGGAAAAAAAATTCACAAGGATATCCAGGATTTAAACTCAGATCTGGACCAAGCAAATGTAATAGACATATACAGAACTCTCCACACCAAATCCAAAGATTATACATTCTTCTCAGCACCACATCACACTTAAACTAAACTTGACCACATAATTGAAAGTAAATCACGCTTCTGCAAATGCAAAAGAACGGAAATCATAACAGTCTCTCAGATACAATGCAATCAAATTAGAACTCAGGATTAAGAAACTAACTCAGAACCACAGAACTTCATGAAACCAGAACAACTGACTCTTGAATGTTGACTGGATAAACAATGAAATGAAGGCAGAAAATAAGATGTTCTTTGAAATCAACGAGAATGAAGACACAACATACCAGAATCTCTGAGAAATAATTAAAGTAGCATCTAGAGGGAAATTTGTAGCAATAAATGCCCATATGAGAAGCGAGAAAGATCTAAAATCAATAACGTATCATCAAAATTTAAAGACCTCGAGGAGCAAGATAAAAAAAACCTCAAAAGCTAGCACGCGACAAAAAGTAACTAAGATCAGAGCAAAAATGAAAGAGATGAAGACCCAATAAACCCTTTGAAAAACATCAATAGATCTAGGAACTGGTTTTTTGAAAAGATCAACAAAACAGACCACTAGCCAGATTAATAAAAAGAAAAAAAGAGGCATTTTATTGCATATCAAATGGATGCAATAAAAAATGATAAATGATATATTACCACCGATCCCACAGAAATACAAACTACCATCAGAGATTACTACAAACAACTCTGTGCACATAAACCAGTAAACCTGTAAGAAATGGATAAATTCCTGAACACTTGCACCCTCCCAAGCCTAAACCTTGAAGAAGTAAAAACCCTGAAGAGACCAATAACAAGGGCAGAAGTTGAGGCAGCAATTAATAGCCTACTAACCAAAAAAATTCCGGGTCTATATGGGTTCATGGTCAAATTCTACTAGATGTACTCAGAGGAGCTGGTACCACATCTTCTGAAACTATTCCAAACAAGATGAAAAGAGGGAATCCTTCCCAAATCATTTATGAGACCAACATCATCATGATACCAAAACCCAGCAGAGACTCAACAACAACAAAAAAAACTTCAGGAACATAAATGAAAAAATTCTCAATAAAATACTGGCAAACAGATTGCAACAGCATATCAAGAAATGTATACATCACCATCAACTAGGCTTCATCCCGGGGATGCAACGCTGCTTTAACACATGCAAGTCTATAAACATAATCTACCACATAAACAGAACCAAAGACAAAAACCACATTTATCTCAACAGATGCAGAGAAGGTCTTCGAAAAAATTCAGCAGCCATTTATGCTAAAAACTCTCGGTAAACTAGGTATCAACGGAACGTATCTTAAAATAATAAAAGCTACTTATGACAAACCCACAGCCAATATCATACTGAATGGGCAAAAAAACTGGAAGCATTCCCTTTGAAATCTGGCACTAGACAAGGATGCCCTCTCTCACCACTCCTATTCAATATAGTATTGGAAGTTCTTGCCAGAGTAATCAGGGAAGTAAAAGAAATCCAGGGTATTCAATTAGGAAACGAGGAAGTCAAATTGTCTGTGTTTGCAGATGACATGATTGTATATTAAGAAGAGCCCACTGTCTTAGCCCAAAATCTCCTTAAACTAATAAGCAACTTCAGCAAAGTCACAGGATACAAAAATCAATGCAGAAATCACAAGCATTCCTATACAGCTATAACAGACTAACAGAGAGCCAAATCAAGAGGGAACTCCCATTCACTATTGCTACAAAGAGAATAAAACACCTAGAAACACAAGTAACAAAAAATGCAAAGGACCTCTTTAAGGAGTACTACAAACCCACTGCTCAACGAAATAAAAGAGGACACAGATGGAAAATCATTCCATGCTTATGGTAGGAAGATTCAATATTGTGAAAATGGCCATACTGCACAAAGTAATTTACAGATACCACACTATCGCCATCATGCTTCCAACGACCTTGACAGAACTAGAAAAAAGCACCTTAAACTTCATAGAGAACCAAAAGAGAGGATGCATGGGCACGACTATTCTCAGCAAAAAGAAGAAAGTCAGAGGCATCACACTACCTGACTTCAAACTATACTACGAGAAATCAAAGCAGCATGGTACTGGTACCAAAACAGAGATATAGAACAATGGAACAGAACAGAGGCCTCGGAGGGTATGCCAGATATGTACAATCATCTGATCTTTGACAAACCTTACAAAAACAAACAATGAGGAAACTATTTCCTGTTTAATAAATGGTGTTGGGAAAATTGGCTAGCCATGTGCAGAAAGCAAAACTGGACCCTTTCCTGACAACTTACACTAAAATTAATTCCAGATGGATTCAAGACTTAAACATTAAGACCTTAACACCATAAAAACCCTAGAAGGAAACCGAGGCAAAACCATTCAGGACATAGGCACAGGTTAAGGACTTCATGACTAAAACACAAAAAGCAATGGTAACAAAAGAGAAAATAGGCAAATGGGATCTATTAAAGTCTAGAGTTCCTGTAGAGCAAAAGAAACAATCATAAGAGCGAACCAGCAAGCAACAGAATGGGAAAAAACTTTTGCAATCTACCCATCTGCCAAGGGCTAATATCCAGAATCTAAAAAGAACTAAAACAGATTTATAAGAAAAAAAATTTGTTTTAATCCATTCAAAAGTGGTCAAAGGATATGTACACTTTACAAAAGGAAAAAAAGGAAGACATACATGAGGCCAACAAACATGAAAAAATGCTCATCATCACTTGTCATTAGAGAAATGAAAATAAAAACAACATTGAGATATCAACTCATGCCAGTTAGAATGGCAATCATTAAAAGTTCTGGAGACAACAGATGCTGAAGAGGATGTGAAGAAATAGGAACAATTTTATACTGTTGGTGGGAGTGTAAACTAGTTCAATCATTGTAGAAGACAGTGTGGTGATTCCTCAGACCTAGAAATAGTAATTCCATTTGACTCAGCAATCCCATTGCTCACTATATACACAAAGGATTGTAAATTATTCTATTCTAAAGACACATGCACACATATGTTCACTGTGGCACTGTTTACAATAGCAAAGACCTGGAACCAAAAACCAAATGCCCATTGATGATAGACCGGACAAGAAAAATGTGGCACATATACATTATGGAATGCTATGCAGCCATAAAAAATTAGGAGTTCATTCATGTTCTTTGCAGGGACATGGATGAATCTGGAAACCATCATTCTCAGCAAACTGACATAAGAACAGAAAATCAAACACCACATGTTCTCACTCACAGGTGGGTATTGAACAATGAGAACACATGGACACAGGGTGGGGAGCATCATACAATGGGATCTTTTGGGGAATCTAGGGTAGGGACAGTGGGAGGTGGGGAGGCTAGAGATAACATGGACAGAGATGCCAGATATAGGTGATGGGAGGACGGAGACAGCAAATCACATTGCCATGTATGTACCTATGCAACAATTCTGCATGCTCTGCACATGTACCCAAAACCTAAAGTACAATTAACAAAGTTATATCCTATGGAAATAAAATAAATAAATAAAGGAAGAATATATAATGGTAAAAAAAGAAAGAAAAAGAGAAAAGCTGTGGAAGAACTGTGAACAGACTGGAAAGGACTAAAAACAGCAATGAGGCTTAAATCTGGGGGGGCCAATATCAACCATTTCAATATTCAAAGATTATGTCAAGAAATGCTGCTAGGCTCAGTGTTCTTTCCTTTCCTGCCTGGAAACATTATTTTCTAACACAGAAGACCCTTGAGCCAAGGTTTTTATTTTTCCGTTAGAAAGTAGACTATCTTACCTTACTAAGGCTGTAGAGGTCCAAGATCCTCCGTTCCACATTGGGAATCTTTAAGGAAGAGCCTTGAATTTCCCAGAATTTTGCAATCTGATCCAAATAGTTCAATTTCACTCTAGTTTGGGCCTAGGAAAGAGAAAGTCTTATAGGATTGGCATACTTCTTAAACTGACTTTGTCCAGCGTGAAGTAAATAAACAAGTATTATTCTATGCTATCTACACTTTTCTACTAATGTCCCAGCTTCATTGTCTATCTCAGCAGTGGTATCTAGAAAAAGCTCAAATAAGCTGAGTCTTTAAGAAGGGCTAAGAATGTGCTATTTTAAAATCAATATCATATCTAAATTTAAAGAATTCTTTGACTTAAAAAATGCCTTGACAAAAACTATTTAGACTCCAAGAATATTGAGCCTCAGTATCACCTACTTACAATGTACTGAGATACACTTTAAAAAATTCAAATAAGTATTTTTCTAGTCCATGTCAAACTGGAAATGAAACCAGTTTCTGACTCTTTGCTTTCTTATCCTAACTCATATGCAGCTCCTAGCTACTGATCATAGTCAAAATCCTAATAGTAAAAGAAAATGACAAATCATGCGTATACTTCCTATGCTGTAAAGATTGAACTGACTGCTTTAAAAAGTCAGCTTTGCCTCTAATATCATATTAAAGCAGAACATATGTAAGACTATCAGCCTTTTGCTAAATATTCAAAAGTTTCTATTATTTCTCTGAACTCTGCTTTTGTTAACCAATCAGAAAGATTCAGTCAGGCCAGTACAGTGATTCATGCCTGTAATCTCAGCACTTTAGGAGGTGAATGTGGGCAGACCACCTAAGGTCAGGAGTTGAAAACTAGCCTGACCAATATGGTGAAACTCCATCTTTACTAAAAATACAAAAATCAGCTGGGCCTGGTGGTGTATATCTGTAATACCAGTTACTTGGGAGGCTAAGGCAGGAGAATCCCTTGAACCCAGGAACAGAGGTTGCAGTGACCTGAATCGCACCATTGCACTCCAGCCTGGGAGACAGAATGAGATGTCTCAAAAAAAAAAATCAGTCGTTAAATATGTGGATATGAGAAAACCAAATGGGAAACGTACTGTCATTTTGTTTTAACTTGAACCCATTGTATAGCAAAAGAATAAATCCTTCATCCTCAGAAATTTAAACCCTTCTGTATGTTCTGACATTTCTGTGAATAATAAATATGTATTTTATAGAAGACTTTCTCCAAGATTAACATTCTGGAAAATGGTGAGGCTCAGATTCAAATTTAATACATTCAATTACAAAATCTAGGTTCCACATTGTTAAAAAACTATAACGCCATGATTAGAGGTTAGATACCTTTAATAAAAGTATGGCTCCCAATCTTACCTCCAGTTCATTTAGCCTTTGGATGCGAGGAGTAAATCTGAAATTGTCAACTTCTACTGCAAAGGGAGGCTGCCAGTCCTAGAAGAAAGCATAAGAACCTGGATATTAATAGCAAAGTAAAAGAAAAAGATGGTGAAAACCACAATCATTTGTTTCCAAGCTTCTAAAGACTTCTGGTAACCATTTTGGTACACAAGGGCCTCAAATGATTTCTTCTTGAAAATCAAGATTAACTGAATAAAAAAGAAGAAAAGACAAAATCCTGCAAATCCAAAACTCACCTTGATATGTCTCCTTCGTAACATGCTAAAAAGTAAAACAAAATAAAAGCCACCAAAATCTCAAGCCTAGAAAGCTACTTCAAAAGTATAATGCACATCTGAACACTATGCTATTTGCGTTATGAGTCGTTACTAAAGATAAACGTAAAACAGATTAAAAAACTGCTTCATTTTTTTCGAACCTAAGCCATTATCTCTTTCTACTCGCAGCAGTGTGGAAACGACACAAGAAGCAAAAGTTTAACTGCGAATGCTGACAACTGGGAACATCCAAAGAAAAATAAAGTTGCAGCCTGGTTCTACATATGAGAAAAAAATTGTATGCTCTGCGAAAACTTTTTGATTTATATGAATATTCTTTTAGTTGTTTACAACGACAGCCTAGGCTCATTTCAGTGTGTATCCTTAACTCAGTCAAACTTCTACGAGGTCCGTTTAGTAGTTTTGAGTGTAGCAAACCAAGATGCTCTACGTTTAATAATACAAACTTAATTGGTGGCAAAGAATGCCACATCACTCCCATTCTTTGCTATTTGTTACATACATATCAAGTTATATTAAATAATGAAAACACCAGTCCACGTGGTGGACACAAGTTTATATAACTTGGTTCTGTGATAGATCAAGTACTTCTGGGTAATTTTTTTTCTTTTTTTTTTCTTTTTTTTTTTTTTTGCAGTTAAGAGTAAATTTGTGTATGCCCGAAGTATATTTAAGTAACGGCACAAAGTAAAAATGTTTGAAGCGTATATTTTTGTTCCTAAAGAAGTCAGATCTTTAGAATCCCGTAGAATGTGGCGATCAGATACAAATGTTCTGAGGACAGCCTGTTCTAGTAATTAAGTTAAACGAGGAATAGGGAGCTAAGGATTTCTCTTCATAAATGTAAAGCCTCTTCAAGTGGTAAACTGCTACAACGTTCAAACAGAAGGCGACCCACTCCAAGTTTTGTTTCAGAGACTTACTGCGGGTGGGCGGATTTTGCAGATGCCAGACTTCTCGGCTATGGGCCTGATTTTCGCAATGTAGCCCAGCGGGTCGCTGAATTCAGCCCAGCTAGGCTCAAACACCGGGCACTCCGGCGGGGGAAGGAACTCGTCAGATCCGGGTTCCATGTCGGTCCTTAATGCTAAGCTGTAAAATAAGAATCACACTTTCTTTAATGGCACATGGGTTCCTCCTACTGAAAAGGCTAGCTAGCGAAATTTCACTTACAAATTCCTGACTTACTTTAATCCAGTAGCGGTTTACCAACCACCGGGGCTTTCGGTTTTACAACCACCATCTTGCTCTGCTGTGTGGTGCTGACCGTCTCACTCCGCGGATCGATTTTTTTTTCCTGGCGTTATTTCCAAACCTCTGAGACCTTCTACACCTCACCTAAAAGCTGGGAATAAAGAGCAATTTTAATGGAGGAAAACAGCCACAGAGAGTCGCTGGACTGATATTCAAAGGCACTCCGACGGAACTAAAAAGCAAGCTAAAAATAGTATGGCCGGATCTTCTTTTAAAATGGGACCAATGCGCAAGTTACGCCTGCGTATTGCAGGGAAGGATCGTAAAAGGATCTGACGCGATCGGACGACTGGATTTCTCCCAGAAAATTTCGTCTTTGCGAAAATGCTGGCCAGAAGCGCACCTTTTTTTTTTTTTCTTCCTGCTGGTACAAATCGCCCAAGATATGTGTTCACGCGGAGGTTTTTACTAACATTCTCTGAGGACTTACTTGGGTTCTCAGCTAGCGAGCTTTCCTGTCACAACACGTTTAGGAGCTAGGACATGTGGTAGGATGCATTTAATGTTCTTGTAAACCTGCATTAACAGTGTCCTCCACATGGGCACATTTGTCGCTACACTTTTTACCAGTTCTAGATTGGACTTTATGACGGGGAAAAACCACATGATACACATCCCTAAAAATTACCTGGTAATACCCTAAATTTAAAACTGATCACAAATACCTTGTAAGATAACGGCAGTAACTCTTCAACATTGCCTAACATTCGTACCGTAAATTAACTGAAAGAAACACTCTGCTAATCTATTTTTTGATGTAGAATTCTCTAAGTTGTTTTTAAAGGAAGTTATAGTTTATTGCGATTTTTAATTGCAAAACAAAATAAGACGTCACACTTTGTTGCCTATAATTTTATTTACAATATTTTACACCCGGTTAATAAGCAAAAATCACCTTATTTTGCTATTGTTTTTTTAGAATCAATTCACTTAGGCATTATCTTATTCTCTATATTTGAAAAAAATATGCAAAAGGTAAATTTAAAAATTAGTGAATCTCATTTTGAAAACAACTGCTTTAAGTTTGCTTTGACTATTGCTTTATATTCTATGATTGTTTCTTCCTTTTTTTTTTTTTTTTGGAACAATTTATCCATTCCATCCCGATTATCGGCTTTATTAGTTTATTATGCTACACTATATATATTTCTGTGTCAAAAGTAATTTGCTTAATTTTCTGCTTTCATTTTACCAGTTTTTATCTACATTTCTCTATAAAAATCAGTTATAGTTTAGTGTGTATTATTATTTTAGGTTATCAAATTTTTCTAATTTTTCCACGATTCAAAATTTCTTATGAAATAGCTTTATATTTCATTAATTCATCAGTAAATAGATATTTCAGTTTCTACTTTTAGCTATTATAAATAATGTTGCTATCAACATTTGTGTGCTGGTTTTTGGGTGCAGGCTTAGTTTTATTTCTCATGTGTATACACCTACAGGTAGAATTGGTGGGTTATACAGAAAACTTAGTTTTAAACTGTTGAGTAACTGATACATTGTTCTCTAAAGCATATGTATGGTGTTATTTAATTTCCATCAAAAGTGGAAGACAGTTCTAGTTTCTGCATGTCTTCACCAACACTGTAATTACATCACTGAACTGATTTTACCATCATAGTGTAATCTCATTGAGTTTTGACTTGGAATTCCAGAATTACTAATGAAACAATAATGCTTAGAATCTTCTGGTTTGTTGTTGGCTTGTTCATGTGCTTTATATGCCTTCTTTGGAGAAATGTCTATTCAAGGTTTTTGGCTATTTTCACATTGCATTGTCTTTGTTTAGTTGTAGTTATTCTTACCTGATTCTCTTATCAGATGTTTGATTTGAAAAAAAAATAATAATTCTGTGTGCTGGCTTCTCTCTTTCCTAATAGTGACCTTTAAACTGAAAGATTTTTAATTTGATCTCTGGACAGTTTAGTTTTTTTCTATTGTCTCTTGCACTTTCATTATTGCCTCAGGTGATTTTGTCTAACCCAAAGTCACAAAGATGTACTCAATTCTATGAACTTTTTAGTGTTAGCTTTTACATTAAAGACTTGGATACATTTTGAGTTAACTTTTGTAAACACTGTGAAGTAATGATCCAAGTCAGTATTTTTGCATTTTGCCTTCTAGTTGTCCCAATATTTGTTGGAAACATTATTATTGCTTCATTAATTGTTCTTGGCACTCTTGATAGCATTCCATATGCCATTGATGTATGGATTTATTCTTGGACTCTCAATTCCATTTGATATATCTGTATGTATACATTCTAATGTCATTGTTTTTATTGCTGTAATTTGTAGAATTTGTAAAAGGTTTTGAATTGGAAACACTGAGTAATCCAACTTCGTTCTTGTTTTTCTCAAGACTGCTTTGAGCTTGCCTATTTCTGCAGAGAAAAAAAGCTTGGATTTCTACAGAGAAGCAAGCTGGGATTGAGACAGAAATATTGAATTCACAGACAAATTTAGAAAATATTTCCATCTAATTTTCCTACAGAGTACATTGACAACGCATGTATTTTAATTTATTTAGGTCTTCTTGGATGTCCTTCAACATACTTTTATAGTTTTTAATATATATGTTAGTATTTAGTATGTATAGTATGTATTCCATATTTGAACTTAATTTCTTTCAGATTATTTTATTCTTTTTCTGCTACTATGAATTGTATTTTTAAGATGTCCCCTATGAAGCATTTGTTAGTGATATACAGATATATGATTGACTTTTGTATGTTGATCTTTTGTCATACCACCTTGCTAACCTCATTTATTTTAATAATTTTTTTAACTTTTAAGTTCAGAGGTACACATGTGTGCCTTTTTTTTCTTAACTTTTTAGGTTCAGAGATACAGGATGTGAAGGTTTGTTATATAGGTAAACCTGTGTCATAGGGTTGATTGTATAGATTACTTCATCACCCAGGTATTTAACCTTATATACATTAATTATATTTCCTGCTTCTCTCCCTCTTCCTATGCTCTGTCCACCAGTAGAGCCAACCATGTATTATTACCCGCTCTGTGTATGTATATTGTCACAATTTATCTCCCACTTATAAATGAGAACATGCAGTATTTGGTTTTCTGTTCTGGCATTTATTTGCTAAGGGTAATGGCCTCCAGTTATGTCCCTGCAAAGACATGATTTTGTCCGTTTTTTGGCCACATTTTATTCTGTGGTGTATACTTACCACAGTCTATCATTGTTGAGCTTTTGAATTGATTCCATGTCTTTGCTCTTGGAAATAGCTGCAGCGAATGTACATGTGCTATTATGAATAGCTGCAATGAACATACATGTGCATGCATCTTTTTAACAGAATGATTTATAATCCTTTGGGTGTATACCTAGTAATGAGATTGGTGGGTTGAACGATAATTCTGTCTTTAGGCACTGAGAAATTGCCACACTCTTTTCCATAATAGTTGAACTACTTTACACTCCCACCAACAGTGTAAAACATTCCTATTCAAAACCTCACCAGAATTTGTTAGATTTTGACTTTATAATATAGTATCCTGGCTGGTTTGAGATAGTACCTTATTGTGGTTTAATGCACACTTCTCCAACGATCAGTGATGTTGAGCTTTTCTAAATGTTTGTTGCCTACATGTGTATGTCTTCTTTTGCGAATTGTGTGTTTTTATTCTTTTTCCACTTTTTAATGGGGTTTTTTTATTTTTCCTTGTAAATTCGTTCAAGCTCCTTATAAGTGCTGGATATTAGACCTTTGTCAGATGCATAGCTTTCAATTTTTTTCCCATTCTATTGATTGTCTATTAAATTGGTTGATAGCTTACTTTGCTATTGTAGAAGCTCTTTAGCTTAATTAGATGTCATTTATTAACATTTGCTTTTGTAACAATTGCTTTTCACACCTTGTCATGAAATCTTTACTCCTGCCTATGTCTGGAATTGTATTGCCTAGATTTCCTTCTATGGTTTTTATAGTTTTGAGGTTTACATTTGCATCTTTAATCTATCTTGAGTTAATATTTGTATATAGTGTAATTAAAAAGGCCCAGTTTCCATTTTTGCCCAACGGCTAGCAAGTTATCACATTACCATTTAATAAATAGGGAGTCCTTTTGCCATTGCTTTCTTTTGTTAGGTTTGTTGAAAATCAGATAGTTATAAGTATGCAGTCTTATTTCTGAGTTATCTATTCTGTTCCATTGGTATATATATATATATATATTAGTACCAGTCAGTGCTAGTTTGGGTTATTATAGTCCTGTCATATAGTTTGAATGTGAATCACATGATGCATTTACTTTTGATTATTTGGCTTAGAATTGCTTTGGATATTCAGGCTCCGTTTTCATTTCACATGAATTTTAAAATAGATTTTTCTAGTTCTGTGAAGAGTGTCAGTTGTAGTTTAATGGGTATAACACTAGATCTATAAATTGGTTTGGGCAGAGTAGCCATTTTATATTTATTCTCCACATCTACAAGCATGGAATTTTTTCTATTTGTTTGTATCATTTCTGATTTATTGAGTAGTGATTTTTATTAATAATTTTTCCTATAAAGATCTTTCACTTCCCTGGTTAGCTGTACTTCTAGGTTTTATTCTTTTTGTGACAAGTTTGAATGAGAGTTTGTTTATGACTTGGCTCTTGATTTTTTTTTTAATTTTTTATTGCATTTTAGGTTTTTGGGGTACATGTGCAGAACATGCAAGACAGTTGCATAGGTACACACATGGCAGTGTGTTTTGCTTCCTTTCTCCCCTTTACCCACATTTGGCATTTCTCCCCAGGCTATCCCTCCCCAGCTCCACCCTCTGCTGGCCCTCGCTTTTAGACCCCAGTGTTTAGTATTCCCCTCCCTGGGTCCGTGTGTTCTCGTTTTTCATCACCCGCCTATGAGTAAGAATATGCTGTATTTCATTTTCTGTTCTTGTGTCAGCTTGCTGAGAATGATGTTCTCCAGATTCATCCATGTCCCTACAAACGACACAAACTCATCATTTCTGATTGCTGCATAATATTCCATGGTGTATATGTGCCACATTTTCCCAATCAAGTCTATCATCGATGGGCATTTGGGTTGTTTCCAGGTCTTTGCTATTGTAAACACTGCTGCAATGAACATTCGTGTGCATGTCTCCTTATAGCAGAACGATTTATAGTCCTTTGGATATATACCCAGTAATGGGATTGCTGGGTCAAATGGAATTTCTATTTCTAAGTCCTTGAGAAATCGCCACACTGTCTTC